AATATAATTATTTTTATTAACTTACGCAATTAACCCTTAAATTCGGTCATTATGTTAAAGGCTCTTTCAATTTTTTTGTGCCTCATCCTTACAGTATGCAATTTTTTTTTTAATTTTTTGGTTCGTGATAAATTTTAGTAATGTACGTAGAAAGTAATTTTAATAATGTACGTAGCCAGATTGTTTTTACAAGCAATATTTTCACTTGATAAAAGGAAAAGTGCTGCATTACAAACCATTAGTTTCATTCAACTTTATTAAATGTTATTAGCATACACAAGCTACGACAAATTGTGTATATAATAATTGTGCTTAAAATGAGTTGAGTAACTTTTTTTTAGAAAGCATACTAATTTCAAGGTACCTAGAATACCTTGAACACATTAATTTTTCATTTTTTTTTCTTTCTTAGATCTTAAAATAAATTTTATATACGTTATTTATCTTTATGTTTGAAAGTAACAAAAACTTGAAAAGTTGTAAAATAGAATGGAAAAAAAAAAACATTTTGTTTTAAAGAATTCTTAAAATTAACCCTCATCAAAAAATATGAAAAAAAAATTTTTTTTTCATTTTTCGACCCTTCATTAAACAAAAAACCACAAAAAAAAAGTAATGTTCGCTCGTTATTATTGAAATTTTATATAAACACTTACAAAATCACTCTAAGTGGGTAAAATTTCTATTAAATCCTTTAAAATGTGTGTGTATAGAACAAGGATAATTTTTTGCTTTGTTGGTTTGAGGAAAAACACAAAAAGAATAATGTTACGATTTTTTTGTTTTTTTTTTTTAACGGATTAAGAATAGCAATGTTAATTACCAGTTGAAATTACCAATTAAAATGAAAATGAAGGCAAATTATTTTTATTAAAGTCCGGAATTTTTTAAGATTTTTATTTGTTGTTCTTTAAAAATTTATTTATTTTTTTCTATATTTCTTTGCCTTTTTGGGTCATCAAGCAATTTCTCTATGAAAATTTGCTATTATTTTTCTTTTTGAATATCTTTACGCAAAAATGTAATAATAATATTATTTTTGAAAATATTTTATGATTCACAAATGTACGAGTAAGCAAATGAAAAAAATTTTATTATTAAATTAAATGATTTTCTCGGTTCTTAATACAATTCTCAAATTTATATAGCTGCCAATTGCCATTAAATTGAATATCAAAATTGTTTTTTATGAATCTCTTACTGGAAAATAATAAATTAATTTTATAAAAAATTTTTTACTTCAATTGGCAAGTTGGAAATCCGACATTGATTGGAACGCTACTACTTTATGAAATATACAAATTTTTGTTAGTTTACAAGTGACAAATGAATATTTAATCAGGAAAAGGGAATAATTTGTGATAAATGTCCTTTATTAGCATCGAACTTGATCGTTTAATTCAGGAATCTTTTCATAGTTTCAAAATAAATTTATTACTTGGGCAAAATGTTTATTAAATTGTGCTCAAAGCAATATATTGGAAGATTGAAAGACTTGGAATTTTTGAGCACGCCCGTTTAAATTTTTGATCTTTGATACTTTTTCCACTTGTTATTAAATTATTCAAATTAATAATATGATTTTATAGATTTAAATAAAAATTTTATTTTCAAATCATAATTTTGATACTTGCTGTAGTGATAAATTGTTCTTTAATTTTAAGCATGTGAAAAACTAGAATTTTAAAAATTTTTAATTTTTGTACGCTTGGGCACCTCTGGACTGTAATTATTTACGTTTTATTAAAATTATTAAAAACTTTTCCAAAAATTTATATATTTAGCTGGCCATCCTTTTAAACATTTTCCAGCCCATAATAATAACCGAGAAAATGATATTAAAAAAAAAAATTTAAATGTTTTGCTTTAACGTTACAGGAAAAACTTTGTTGATGAGTAAAAAATAATAAAACGAGAAAGAAAAATCATCAAAAAAAAACACGAACATACTTTTATACAAATTCTTTTTTGTCTCTTTCCGTTATCAATTTTTATTTCCCATGTTTTTCAGTTAACCTCTTGATTGTACCCATCAGCGGAAAATAAACGACCCTTTTTAGTTTTTTTCTTTTTCCTTTTGTTTTTTTGTTTTATTTCGTTTCGTCTTTTTTCAACAAATTGACAGTAAAAACAAGTCAGTATTGTTTTCTTTTTTTTTCCAGGGCATCATAAAAAAAACTTAAAAGTTTGATAAAAAAAATTTTAGAGTTAGATTGACAAACTCTCGGGTTAGATGACATTCAATAATGGCATTTAAGGAGAGTACAAGGATAAGCTATTGCACCTAACTCGAAATAAAACGGAATGCTGTTCGTTGGGTACGGGTTATAAAATAACTCTATTCTTAATTTCAGAACATAAAAATACTTCGTAAAATAGGTGTGGAAACATATTGACTATAGGTATGGATCGGCCACGGGAAACATGAGGAAGAGCTATTCTTAGATAGATTCTGCCAAACATGACGCAAGCAAAAAATCATGAAAGCAATGAAGTCGATTTGCGGCGTTCATTCGTGATGATTGGTGTTATATTGGGACTGTCCTGTATTAAGCGGTTATTGCGAAATGCAAAAAAGGTATTTTACTTGCTGCTTTCCTATTCTTAAAATGCTGGCTCTTTTTCTTGTTTAAGACGAATGAGATGATATTGGTAAGAAAGTGAAAACAAAAGCTTCTCATTACAAAGTCATAACAGAGTCACTGATGTATCCATGGAGGAAATTCTGATCAAATGAATCACCAAAGTCTTAATACTTTGTTCCAACAAATTCTCTTGTAATCAAAGAATTTTTATAGATAACGTTCCCATAGCACTGATAAATTTAATAGAAAACAAAAATTAGTTTCAGTATACGATCACACAATGGAGCTGAAAATTTAGTATACTGAACAACTTGAAACTTTTATCATTAAAAAGACCATATAAAATAGAACGACAACCAAATTCGATAGGATACAACATTTAACAATTAAGGAGAAAAAAATGAATAAAAGCGTGAAATATTTAAAATTCTGCAACTTGTGTCTGTCAGGTTTAAAGAAAAACTTTTTTAACACTCTAAAACTCGTACAATATTTTGTATCCTTTCATGTTTTTTAGACAATGAAAAGATCAAAAGAAAAACAAATGTATTGTCGTTCCGATACCCGAGCTATCAACGACGCCAAGAATAAGTAATTTTATTTTTTGCTTTAATAATTGCAACATTGTAGAGATTTCCATAACTTTAAGGGTTGAATTCCTCATATTTTTTTTCATATTGAAATTTTTAATTTATTTTTTTAAATTAATGGGGAAAAAATATTAAATTTTATATAAAAATTCAACTAGGTATTTACGAAATTTAAAAATTATTCCATATACAATTTTTTTTTTGTCCAGAATAAAAACATCCAAAATTGCTTTTTTACTAATAAAATCTCACTTGGAATAAATTTTTTGTAACGCAGAATTTTTTCATTTTACAGAAATTTTCATTTGTATGTAGGTAGTAAAAAACAATTTATTGAATAAACTTTTCAAAACGGAAACTTTGTAAAATTGCACTCGTTAATATTTTTAAATTCATTTTGAAAAGCAAAGGTTTTTAATTACAATAAATAAACTTAATTGGAGAATGTACATTATAGATCACATAATAGAATCTTAGCCACTACGGCCATTCACGACTTATTGTAGCCTCATACAATCTCGTGAATAGTATTCCGATTCCAAGTTATTGAAGATATGCGTAAGTAAATTGAATAGGAATTTCTCCAATTCCAAGGAAACATTATTTAAAAAATTTGGCACGGCAACCACGAAGTATCAGAAAATATAATCACTGGCCACGTAGAATTTGCACAAAACGGAGCCTAAGTAAAAATTGCCTCTAAAATTTAAGAAATTTACAAAATGTTGTTTTTGGAAACACTTAAAGATCTAATATTTATCCGCTATTTAATCTAATTTGGCTTTATCCGCTATTAACAAAATCTTATAGAAAATTTTCATTCTGAAAATAAATATTTTAAAAAAATTTTTAAATTATAAAGAATGCGTGGAATAGAATCGTATTTCTCGAATCCTACGACTACTACGATTTTTTTTTTTTTTTTGAAAAATTAATTGTAATAAAAAAAATTTAACCTTGAACTTTTATTTAATGAACTTTAATGCAAAGACCGTATATAAGGTAAACAATATTGCATTAAATTAAGGTACCCGTAGATTGAAAAAATAGATTGGTAATTTAAGACTAGGACATTGTTTTTCCGACGTATTTTTAGATCCTTATTTTGCGTAAAAATAAACATGAATTTCTAATCCTTCCAAAATTATTTTTATAAAAGGTTTGATTTAAATTAAATTTTTTTTTGTTTTGTATGCTAAAAATTTTTGTTTTTCTCAGGATGTCAGATTTGTTCATCAGATGCAATGTAAACAATATGCTTTTCTCTGGGCCAAAATAAACAAGGTAAAAAAACAACAAATTGAGTAAAATAATTATTTTTTGTTTAATTTTATGATGAAGTTCTTTACGAAAAGGATCTTAGTTGATTAAACCATAAAGTTACCTAAGTTATTCAAACAAAATAATGTTTTAATTTGGTGAATTCTGCTTAAAATAACAAAGGTATTCGTTATAGAACTGTTCGATATTTCAAATAGTGTTTTTCGATTTTTTATGGAGTTCATTTTACCCCATTTTTTCAAAATTCAGTGGAGTTTAAAGTAATGTTTCTTTTTTTTTAGAAAATTTAAAGCCAATGGATGCTTTACAGAATCCCTCCATGAACTATTCAAAATGAAGCCTACGCGGGTTATATACGAAATATTATGATTCGGTCTTTATTGCTTATAAATTATTAAATAACAGTCATCTATATTTTATATTTCGTACTAAAACGGTGTTGAACGGAGATTTTTCTTCCAAAAAAGGACTACAACTAAATAAAATTGCGATTTCGCAGATTTGTTTTATATAATTGATTTTAAAAAGAGTACAGTTGAATTACCTTTTGTTTTTATAATGGGGGCTGTTTGTATTTTTCTTAATTCCTAGTAGTGTCTAATCCAATTTCTGAAAAGTAAATTTTGTGTTAAATATTAAGTAATTATTTATAGTAATCATTTTGAATGAAATGTAGAAAATTTTCACAAAACAACATTGCTTTCCGCGAATAATAGCGCATTATTTCATTATTATAGAAAAACAATTAATTTTACTTCATGTTCCAAAAAGGATTTTTATAATTTTATACCGAAAGGATTCCAAGCAAATAACTATTTCATATTTTCTTCTACACCTACACGTAGTTTATCTAATTATCTTTCAGTTTACGTAAAAATATTTAGAAATACACGTACAATATAGTGTTGCAAACGAATTAGCTAATCAAATGCAGAAAATTCAAATTTGCTAACATTGCTTTTGATTATTTAATTATAAAAAAAAAACTAAATTAAATTTTAGAGTAAAACGAAATTGAATATTTTCTAAAGGACTCAACAATGATGAAATCATGTTTTTTTATATGAAACATTGCTTGTGTTTTATTTGAAATATTTGAAACTGATTAAACATATTATTCTTGTTCAAGCCGTTTATAGGATTAAAATTTTTTTATTTAAAGCAAATAGCAATTATCGAAAAGTTTGAATGCAAAAGATGTCGACATGCGTTAATATTGAAATTTTCATATTATATTAGAAATTATATGAAATGAACTTGGGTCAAAGCAATGGTTTGTAAAGTAGCACTTTTCCCTTTAGCAAGTGGAAATACTGCTTTTAAAAACAATTTACTATAATCTACTAATTAATTTCATTCGTATGAAATTCCAAAAATTGCATATACTTGGGATGGGTAAAGTAAGCTATCTTTGAAAAAAAAACAAACAAAAAAATCTGATGTGGTCAGCACATAACCGACCGCATTGTGTATTGTCTAGTTAAATGAAAGTGTTACAGAATATTATAAAAATGTCTGTTAAACACTTTTTTCCAATTTTTAGGATAATAGTAAGCTTATAGTTAACATACTTAGAAAAATGTAAATTTGGCTCTTAGTAGAGTTTCGCTTTGTGCTACCCGAATTCCCTGAAATGCTCGCCAGTTAGTTTCGGTAACAACCAAAACTCAAATATCAAATTTCAAGAAATTCCATCAATTCGTTCTGTAGATATAGTGAAAAATGTAAAATCGGCCCGCAAATCAGTTTTCGAGCCCTGATCTTTCCAAAAAAGTTATATGTTCATTGTTTTAATACGGGGAGTTCATATATTAAATTTCAATGAAATCGGTTGATTATTTCTCTTTATATACACAAAAATGTATATTTGGCCCGTAGTAAACGTCTAGTTGCCGATGCCTGATTTCTTCCAAAACATATGAATTTTTGCGGACGGTCGAGCTGAGCTTATATATGAAATTTCAAGTAAATCGCTTGAATATTTTCTTCAAAATGTTCAAAAATGTAAAACAGGCCCGCTAAAAAGTGCAGTTCCCGAGGCCTGATATATACCAAAAGTTGATCGATCCGTGCCATGGTGGAAACAAACTTACATATAAAATTTCATCAAAATCGGTTCAGCCGAACTTGAGATACACGCGTGCACACACAGCCCGACAGACCGACAGACCGACAGACCGACAGACCGACAGACGGACAGACCGACAGACCGACAGACCGACAGACCGACAGGTTGCTAAAAATAGTTTATTTACACTTCTCTACTATGGAGAAGTACGTTCCCACCGAAAACTCGATATGCAAAATTTGTTGCCATCACATAACCTACCTATTGTTTACACAATACGGTCGGTAAAAATCAAAGAGGCGATAATATAAAGGTCAAAAGAAGGGTCAATTATGTTACTTAAGAAAAATAATTATATTTCTTGTTGGAAAAGCATTTCCCGTTTGTTTTTTGTATTTATGAAAATATGGAACAACTTGCAGTTCCGGAAATATATGATTGCGAAAATTCGAGTTTCACAAGAGGCAATAACTTAAGAGGGGCTGTAACTCGCCATTTCATTTCTTCATTTGTAGAATATAAAAACTGTATCTTGTCTCGTTACAATAAATAGTAAAAAAATGCCACTTTTAAGTATTTGAGGGGTTATAACTTTCTGAGAAAGAGATCAGGAGAGATAGATAAGAATTTTCTTCTACGGAAATAAGTTTCTACTACACAGATCTTGTATATATGAAATTTCAGGTTCTATTTTTAAGAGTGTAAGAGTTTTGAACACATGTCCACGGACGGACAGAGTGAAAGAAATAAGCACTTTTTTTTGAAAATTTGTTTGGAAAAGTGCTAAAAAACAAACATCATTATTTTGACAATATGAAATTTCATTAAAAACATGAATTTCTCTCGTGCACCGAAATCATTCAGCTTCCATTCAGTAGAGTAATCGCAGTAATATTAACCAAGTTAAGGATTTAGCTTTTTAGGTCGAAAATTCTCGAAATATTATTTAAATCCTCAGGATTATATTCTAGAAAACAATTATTATTTCGTATTATCTAAAATATTTAAATTTTTGTAATTTTGCATCGATTATTTTATTAATAAAGGCATCCTTTATAATAAACATGAAAATACAGAGGCGTGACTCAAAATCAGGATTTTGTTACTTCAATTCAATTTCGTTACTCCTAATTAAACTAAGTTAATTGAGCTAAGTTCACCAAATTTCCACAAATGATTTAGTGTAGTGAAAGCCAGAACCCTATTTAAATTTGACATTATCGGGGTATTGGTTCGGGTAGCTGCCATACAACTTCAAAATTTATTTGTTTATATTTTAGAAACTATGAAAGTTGTGGTATTGAAATTTCGTACAAGTAAATATATTAGTAGGGCCAATGTTTTAAAATTAATTCTTCATTGAATAAAGAAAACACTTTCCAGAACTCTTGAATACCACATTCTGAAATTAGTCCGTTCAGAAAACATTCTTTTAAAAGAAAATTTTTTTCAAAATCCTTAACATCATGTAAAATCAATGAGTATATAGATTAGATCCTTTAGAAAAATAAACTAGGACAAATATCCATTCATATATACAATAATCTATTTACAATAAAAAAGAGAATAATGCTGATTGTAAACTTTTATAAATAATAATATTATTTTATGTAAAAGGATATAGGGAAAGAAAGGAAAACAGGATATAGAAAAAAAATGTTTAACAAATTCATTTCAATTGTTTTCCTAGTATTAAGTTAAAAGTTCTACAGACATAAAATAATAAAAAAATAACATTCTATTTTTTTTTTCTCTCAAATCTTGTATATGAAAGGAACACAATAAAATGTACTTTATACTTTGTTATTTTAAAAATATTAATTCTATAGCAATAATTTAAAAAAGGAGCAAAAAGAAAATGGAAAATCATTGATAATGACTTTGCAAAAGAATCTCTAACACAATAAGTAACTAACTCAAGATGTTTAATGTTCTATATAAATTATTGTATAGACTTCATTTACAAAGATTTCTTTTTATCCTTAATGTATTATGAATAAAATCATAGCTAGTACAATGCAGGTGAGGGCCAGTAATAACTTAAAGAAAATAGATTTAATTAAGTAAATTAACTACTAAATATGAATTGTTTTTTTATTAAATTCTACATTTTTATACTGAAGTCTAAAACTGGATTCAATTATATTCAAAATATATTCAGCTTTTTAAATTAAATTGGTTTTTTCAGTGAAATTTAATTTTTCAGGTGATTAGAAAATAGCAACAAATTTGAGTGTTTTATAATTGAAAAAAAAAATCTTTTTAAAACGCACAAACCATAACAGATTCAATTATAAGACACCCACAAAATTATTCTAAATTTAATTCAATCCAATGGAACAAACCTTGAATAAAATAAAATAAATTTTTTTTCTCACTCTTGCAATTGACAGTGATGACTATTTTTATACACAAATTTAATATTTACGAACAAAGCATTTAACAATTTTACTAACACTTAATTCAATTTCAAAAATTTAAATCGAAATCTCGACAAAATTCTTATATAAATGAAATTTGAATCTGTTCAAATAAGAATAACCTGTGCTTTGTATAAATAATTTTCAAAATTAAAAAAATTACACGAGCTGTTCTCAAACCTAATTATTTTGTTTATAATATTTGTATGGGGGTTAAAATAATTCTAGACTGCTTTCACAATCTAAAGTACTGCAGTATAATTTCAATATGAGCTTTGTTTGAAATATAACACAATATATTGGAAGTTGCCAGCCATAAAACATTCAAGTTTATTTTAAAAATTTTCATTAAAATTGCTTTACAATTCGATTTTATATACTATATCAATGGGCGTGTACACAAATGGTGGTTAAGGAGGACAAAACGAAACATAAAGCTTTGGAAATATTCGAATATAAATTGCTTTTTTTTCGGGAAATGTTCAAATACTATCAATCAGAAAATTTTATTTACGTGAAAAGAAATTTGCAAAACAATGAATCCCACAAGAATATCTCATGAATAAAAAGAGCAATTTATTTTAGTTCCGGTGGAAAAATATATACGTATATATTGTTTTTTTGTTAAATCTATAAGGAATAATAGGTTCACCTATACACATGTTACAAAAATTTACAGAAGGTAACATTTACAAACAATACAGATTTTTTTCTAGGGGAACCGAACCACAAACACTTAAAAATAAAACGTTCTTATTGATTACAAAAAAATATTTTTCTCTTGTTGTCATATGAATGGAGCATACAAGAATTGTTTACACGATTCACCATTCTAAAATCAATTCTGGAAGTAATATTGAAAAGTAAGAGTTGTTATGAAGAAGATTCGGTATAACAATAAAGAAGTGACGAAATAACTAAACCAAAATTTAGGTGCTAGGGAGTTTTACGGCTCCTCTTATAGTTTGAAGAATTTCCATGAACAATAGATCACAAGATTTCTTCAACAAGATGACTGTAACGGTTGCTCGCCGCAAAGAATCTGTCATTCCTTTATAATTTGCCAAAGCATATTGTACGGAGGCCTCCATAAAATATTATGGGGAGATGTACATACGACG